CCTGCCACTATGTGCGCCTCTGATCATAGAGGCAGCAGCTCGGGGTGGCAGCAGCCCCCGTCCCCCTAGCTGCTGCACTGGGGGGGGAGGGGTAGGTAGCACTGCAGAGCCAGTGCTGGGGGGAAACCAGCTTTTAAGCCAGCTCCCCCTGACACCAGCTCCTGCCTTGAGGCAACAAGGGGGGGGGATGCGAATAGTTGACTAGATTAATGGATAAGCCTAGGCTTTATCAGTTAATTATCTACTCACCTCACTTGTTCACACCCATAGCTCCCACACCCCAACTGTGTGAGCATTCATGGCCCTTCATATGATTTCTGTACCCTGAGGTGGCCATTGGGCCAAAAAGTTTGTCCATTCCTGATTTATGGCCTACTCCAATATCCCAATTGTCACTATCAGGTTGGGTTGCCATAGCAACCTTTCACAGTTCACACTGAGTGTGCTTGACGTCTCCACTGGCACTCACTGAAGTTCCAAAGTGGGACTTAAGTCTTGCAGTGGACTTTGTTGTGGTCAGGTACACATCAGGAGCAAATTCTTTCTAACCAATTCTGAAGCAATTATTCACAGCAGCTGGACCATAAATGGATCTCTGGCTCCAGTCCCACAAAATAAATAAAACTTACCAATTGAACACTACAGTCCAGGAAGGGAGTGTGCAGTCTGGGTCAAACAAAACATGACTGTAGCAAATTTATTTACACTAATTTAAGCAAAGAGTTTAATCGACACGTAGGCTGCATCTACACTGCAGGACTTAGCTACACTAAGTCAATTGTGTAGCTTATTTCGAAATTAAGAGAAGCTACACAGCACTTATTTTGAGATAGAGCACACTTCGCCTGACTTTCCTTATTCCTCGTACAATGAGGGTTAAAGGAGCCAGAGTAAGAAGTCCTCCAGCTTGACAATATTTTGACACTATTTCAAAATAACTGCCTGCTGTGTAGATGCGGACTAAGTTATTTTGGAATAATTTAGTTATTTCAAAATAGTGTTGCAGTGTAGACGTACCCTTAGTATTACCTTACCACATGGTGATAATATGGTTGATACAAGCTTGGGTATATAGGGAAGTTATGTTACATTCCATACATTGACATTTATAGAGAGTTTGGGCACAAATTATTTTTACATTCATGGCAAGTTTGTTAATCACATCATGCTGATATTCCTGCCTTAGCTCTGTTATAGTTATAGGAAGCAACTAATACACATATTTATCATTTTTGAGACAGTCATTACCCACCCTCATCCCCACTCTAGAACTTTGACTAGCACGTAGTAGAAAAAAGTTCATCCACAAAAAACTAAACCTGTGAAACCCTTACATCAGTGGGCACACAAATATTCCCATTGACTTTGATGGACATTTTACATGAACAGGTGCGCTCATATTTGTGAGTAAGGGTTGCAACTGTATTCCTATGTAGATGCACAGTGATGGAGCTAATAACGGTAATGTCGTTAACTGCACTGTTAAACTCAGTTATTCAGAATTCTCATTACTTGATTCCATCTATGCATTTCCCCACAATATAATTTTAGTTATATGCTTATGTCTGAGATACAATAAGGATGCCAGTATTTTCAACACATCACATGCCCACGGTCACACTGTGCAGCTGGATCTATATGGATGCATTCTTGTGTGGAGTTCACCTGACTTTAGCAGATGTCCACCTATATGGATCAAGTAAGAATATGGCCTATATGTAACAAGTTTTGCATCAAAGTTATAGGAGAAAATCCAACAGTTTCACATTTTTAAACTCACGAACTGAAACATTAGAAAAAAATTCAATAGATCTATTCACCTAAAATCTAATAAAATACTCAAGTAGGTTTAAATAAAATATAAATATAAACTCCAATCATTTTGAATATGAAAGGAAAGGGAAAATATCAGAATTAAGAATCTTTTTCTCATCAGCAATGAAGTGGAAAGGCCTTCCTTTTAATCAAATGACTGAAAATAAATTAACGTGTAAACTTACTCTTGCAATGACACCAGATATGAACACCGTTGGTTTAGGTGGGCTGCAAAATAAGAAAGATTAAAGTTATTTAATTGATGTTTTTAACTTTACTTCTCCTCATGGGAAAAAATAACATAGGTACAACAGAAGTAAGACTTTGTCAACTTAATGTAAGATAATCCTGGGTGTTCTTGGCAACTAATGGATGCTTGAAATAGAATAGACAAATTCTCCCTTCAACCTTGTTTTCCTACAGTAATTAGTCTGTTAAAGCCCAAAACACCAATGGAACTTTTCTTTGGCTGCTGTCTCTTCAAATTAATTGATGGACACTTACAGATTAATTCAACAATACAGTTTGCTTATTTGAAGTTAGGGGACTTTTGTTTGTAGTGGTTTGCAAATCCTTAGTTTACACATCAAAGCTGCTAGCAGTATTTTTAGACTTTCTGTATTTCTGCTGCGAAATAAACTAGTAGTTAGGGTTTATTGCTGCTATAATGCAGAATAAAAACAGGTTGAAAGTTTATGCTTGGTAGTCTAGTGAGCCTCAGAAAAAGCAAATACCCAAAACCCATTACCAGAAACATTTATAACATTACCATTCCAAATATAAAGCTATAGAAACATATCTGTTATAAACAAAACATGACATTCTAAGCAGCAAATTTGGCTCTTGCTTTTCCCACATACAAATTCTCATTCACCTTTATTTAAAGCAGAGTTTGACTCCAATTCTTTTCTGCATGTGAGAACTTTACAAAATATACTCTCTCAAGTGCTAAAATGAACTAAGCAATCAGATGATTCATCATAAGAATATTGCACAGAACTTTAATACTTCACAACTCTTTGCAAACTTTAATTAATCCTATAGACCAGGGGTCTGTAACCTATGGCTCTTGTGCCAAATATGGCTCAGTATTGAATCAAATATGACTCTTTTGTCATTCTCAAAATGCATGCAACTTTTAAAATTAAAATGAAAAATTAATTCAAAAATTTAAAAATGTGTAATTATTCATGTATGTTGAATGCATTCATGAAGCTGAATTTGACCAGTTATAATGTAAACTTCAAAGAAGTGTGCAAAAAATTACAGCAGCAGAAGTCCCATTAAATAAAGTCTGTGAGTACAATATTTTATTTATGCTATTATTAATCATCATGTCAATTATCAATAATATTAAGTTGTGTATTTTCAGTCATGCAAGTGGGCATTCTTACAAGACACTTTGTTGACCACTTGTTCTGAATTTTGATGTAGTTCGGCTATTTGACTTGAAAAGGTTGCTGACCCCTGCTATAGATGATCAGAGGACATACACAGACAGTAAACAGAATAAATTTTTAACCATAAGCAGTGATTTAATTAATTCTTAACCATACACTAAAACAGTATTATATCACTATCTTATCTGAACACTTTGTTCTTTTTATAACAGCATAAATAATGCCTTATAGAAAACTAAAAATAGTAAATACGAAAGGGAAAAAAAAGTTTGAGGGGAAAATAATAGGGAAATGTCAGGTAGTAAGACAAATCCATTTGAAAGCACTAATACCTTCTGTAATAGCAGAAGAATATATACTAAGTTCGTCTCTTTTAATATTTTTAATAGGCAAGTATCTGTAACCTGATATTTTAATTTCACACTCGCTGTGCTGGTGAATGGAGGTTACATACAACACAGATATGGTGAATTTCAGAGCAGTATTCAAAAAGATTTCATTTAAAAACTCTATGGAGAAACTCTCATTAAAGATTTCAAGACATGTTAAAGGAAATGAATAGTAAACAAAGAAAAATGAATGGCAAATGGTCCTTTAATAATATACAAAACCTTGTTTTAAATCTCACTTTCTAGAAACAGTTGTTTGCCATGACACTTTTGAATAGGTTACATAATGGCAAATCTGTTTCTGATGTACTTTTCTTGAATTCTCACCATGCCCTTTTAGTATTCACTATGTTCTGATGATGCATTCAAATGCAGGCTTTAGTTTCTTAGAAAAAGTTTGTGTGTATTGGACCCACTATGCTTTGTCAACCTGTCACCATAAACCATTATGCTTCCTGTTGCTTTTTTTTAAAGGGGGCGGGGACTTGGCTAGGAGCAACACTTCTGATTAAATAAAGGAAATTTTTAACATAAAAAATGTTTTAAAACACCTCTTATTGCAAACTCTAGTCTAGAAAGCGTTTGGAAACTCTGGTCTTGTGTGTCACATAGTATTTAAAGAATACATGGCCCCTTGAACTAATTGAGAGCTCATTCTAGTTTTTTACTCTTATTTTTCATTTGATTGCTTTCTGTCTTCTTGCTCTTGCCAAAGAAATTACACTGAAGATTATGTAAGACTTTAAAATCACCTTCCTAATCAATTAAGGTCAAGAGCAGTTTGAGGATGGCATTTCAGATGGTATAGCAGAACTAATTAATGAGACAGTTGAGACAAAAAATAGGAATACTCATTTCCTGATATTCTCAGATTTAATTCACCTGGCTTCTACCTCTAGCTCTGCACATATACCCTGGAGCTGTTGCTGATCCTAGCTGCATTGGCCAGAATGAGGGCGTAATTGCCTACCATAAACTTCAGCTAAATCACAAAAATCCTTAACGCTAACTTTAGTATAGACAGCTACATTAACAAATCCTGTAGAACTACTGCAACCAAAAGAGGAAAAATCCCAATGGTAAAATGCAATTGTTTTAATTTTTATTTCCACAGTAAAGATCCATACAGAATAGATTTTAAACTTACATATACCAGTCTTTTGTCCTCTGTCAGCAGCCTCTTAATTTTTCTCATCTAGAGCATACATATTTGTTTTTCCCAAGATTAAATATTTGAGGAAAATTGTAAGAGCACCCACTCACAAGATTTGGTGGCCACACTCTGCAGCCACCATAGAGAAGGTTCTCCAAACCTTCCAGCCCAGAGTTCATCTGTGCTCACTGATGTCAGGGTGCAAAACTTCAGATCTCAATCCTGTCCTACCCTTCTGGAATTTTGCAAAACCAACAACAAAAAACTGGTGAGATATTCAAGCCATCTAGCTCAGCCTTCAAAAGTTATTTGGAAGTGTATTATAAAACAAGAGTTAACTGTCTTCAATTTTAGCATAGTGCCAATTTAAAGGTCTCATAAATACTACTTCACAGAGGTGTTTTGAATGTACCAGGTTGCCGCCTTTGATTCTGACATTGTCTAAGAAAATAAATTGAGATGATTAAACACATACTGAGATGATTAAAAACACATTTTCCAGCAAACAAAGTAAGAATAACAACAAGCACACTGCTCATCAGTTGGCCTGAAATACTTTCTGATTTGCTTATAATGTATTTGGGTTATTAATTTTCAGGACACAAAAGTAATAATTAGCCTGGCTGACTACCAGAGGGAAATATTCTGCTTGATTGCACACAGACATTCCTTATCTGAGATTCTACGACACACTATGCTGTTGAGGTTGTTTGTATGCCAACCAAAACCACATTCTGAAACCTGCAAAATGATCCACAAGATGGCACTGTTGAACCTCCTAGTGTTGTGTACTATAAAAAAGTTTTAAGAAATGGCAAATAAAGCTTCCTCTAAGAAAAAAAGCAAAAAACAAAACAGACAACCCAGTATACAGACAACCCAGTATACATAAGTACTTACTTACACATTATACTATACTATAGTTGGAAAACAATTGTATTGCTCCATGTGAATTTGAAAAAAAACCTATGTGAGATCTCCAACCACCTCAAATTGTTTCCCTGTTCTGTACAGCAAATGAATGAAGTTTTACAAGCCTTGAAAAGTTCCCAAAATCTTATGTATATATTTTAACAATAATTAGTTTTGTTATTCATATACAAGTAAATTGGATGTTCTAATCAGAAATAATTAAGTATTTTGCCTTTTCTATACATTTAAAGTATTTAGTCCTGCTCTTGCTTCATTAATTAAGGCTCAGCCTGGTCATTTTAACATACAAGTGAGTCCCAGGGAATTCAGTGATGAAGTTGGCACAAGCAACAGCTGCAATATTATGTCCGCTTATTGTCTGTAGCCTTTTATGTTTTAAACGTGCTAAACACAAATTTTATTTCAATGGTGACAACATTGAAAGGAAAATCTCATCAATGGAAATAAAAGGCTTATCAGCCAGAGAATTAGCCACAGACATTAAAACAGAGAGCAGCTAGGTAACAGCTAGGTAAACTGGGTCAATACCAACTGTGCCACTATCTATTTGGATTCCTGTCTAAACTTCACCCTCTGATCAGTTGGCATTTTATAAGTTTATATCGTCCTCCATTATACTCCTTTGAACAATGGAATGCAAAGTTCTTCCTCTCCACTGTGTACCCTTGCTTCAAACATGGAAGATTCCTGACTATTATGAAGAGAAGTCTCCACTAGCTTAACTTTCCAACGTCCTCCATGTTTTATATAGTTGGCTGTCTGTGCACAGCTCTAGGGTGTACCTCTGCTGTTACTCAAAGCTTTCTATATCAACTGTGAAATGAAACCAACACAAATGTAAAATATTGATGTTCTTGTAAATTCCACTGTGCTACTGTTAGCCCTGGAAAGAAAAAGGCACTGGAGCTGTCTGCAGACTCAGAAGACAGACTTGTATCACTTCACATTCAAAAGGCATCTCTGAAATGCCTACATGCCCAGAACTTTGTGCCTTCTATTGTTCCTCAGTCTCCAGAGAAAGTTTCCAATTTGCCAGCGAACTTTTTGGAGGGATAAAGGTTTGATGCTTTTTCATCCTTTCTTTTTTAAAATATTAAAGATTGTCTTGTGGTTCACCCCCACCCACCAAAATCATGAATGTTTATGCTTATTTTCCATTTGTGAAACATCAGGTCCTGGCTTCTTTCTTTAAAAAGAGAGTCAGAATCACAAGTCCTGATGTTTTCATTCTCAACACACACTAGACTTCATTTTCTACATGGAAAAGCGCTCAAGTTGACAACAGAAAGCAGAAACCTTTCACTCTCTTTCAGTCACCTCTAAGGCGAGCCACTGGAATGGCAAGTAGTCGAC